CCCCCCCCCCCCCCCCTTATAGGCTACTCATGGGCATTTGACTAGTGTCCCAGGGTAAGGGATGTAAGGAATTTCACCTTGCCTGGCTGGGGTGGGGAATTTGAGCTGGAAGTGTCAAATCTTTCTAGCTGAATACAAGCACCATATCTTTAAATAAGGAGGTGTCTAAAAGTGAAGTATTCTCTTTTGCACACAGGGGCTCAGAAGCTTGGTTAATAAATAAAAAGTTACCCTGGCTGATTTTGCCTTTTACAACAAATGGACCATCAAACCTGGAACTTGGGTGGGGAATTTGAACAAACCAATCTTCAAAAGTTCAAATGCTCAGAGTTGCCTGGGGAGGGGGAGGGGGGGATTATGGAAGCCTCAAATTGATAGATGCTTCATGTTCATTCTGTCCTCTTACCGTGTCGGTGAAGTTGAGAGTGGAACTGTTTTCTTTGAACAGTGATACTTTAACAAGATTTTTTTTTTATTCCTGTGTTTAAAGAAGCTCAGACTCATGTCCCTTTCAATGGCTGGTTACTTCTTGTTAACAGGTAGCTGTTGAGCTTAGATTCTATGTAAAAACATGAAATTTTGATTATTTTGTTACCAGAGATAACATCACCACATTTTTTTCCCCTTGCCAAAACAGGATGCAGCACAGACATATTCATGACAGATGAGCAGCTCATTGACAGTCAAGAAAATGAAGACCACAATTTCACAGAATTAAACATCAGTGGGATTTCTCACTTGAGTGATCCAAGTGACATTCATGATGATCACAGTGAAAATGATTTTCCACTCAGATCTGAACCAGATAATGACAGAGCTTTCTTTGAAGCTCACACACTAACTCCACCAACCAAGAAGCAGCGAACTTTGAATAGTGATGCAAGTTTTGAGGAAAGCAATAGCAAAGATAGAGCAGACTCACTCTCACTTGAACAGGAACCAAGCCAGTCATTTCATTTTTCTCAGTGGAAAAAGGATCAGATGGCAAAGTGCAAAGAAATTCAGAACAGAGATTTCACCAAATACAGTTTCTATAACCATGCAGGTAGCATTACCAGTGCTGGAAGAGAGTGTTGTCACAAAGTAGACTACAGCAATGTGGGAGAAACATCCTCTGAGACGCCACCCTTTGAGTTTACACAATGGGCAAAACAACAGATTTAGGCATGCTCCAAAATACAAAAGGAAACTTATTCTCTAGAGATTACACCTCAGACATCATTCAACTCTGGTGAACAAAGTGATTCTTTAAAATTTAGTTCAAGGAACTTGACCAGTCAGGCTTATTCTGAATTTGATTTTTCTGAGTGGGCCAAGAATCAGATCAAATTATGTAGAAATCTCCAACAGACTGGAGATACAGGAGGAATAGCTTGGGTGGATGAAAATTGGGATGAATGGATTTACACAGCAGGAAAGATGCCATGCACATCACAGTTGCATAGTGAAGAATCACAATTTAAGTTTTCACAGTGGATGAAAAAACAAATGCAAAAATGTAGAAATATTCAAGAGAATAGTGAATAGAGATCACTTGACCATGAAATGAGTTCTAATGGGAAATATGAAACAGAAACTCCTTAAAATGTTAAGAGGGTAAACTTCTATCAACAGAAACATGTTGAAAGTCTTGCTTTTTTGCCAAGATAGAATCTTTGTAGATTGTCTGACTTGTGATGTACACTTCAAGAATGGTTTAAATTATGAATTTGTGAATAAATGGCACATTTTTCTATTTGGGTATAGTGTCTAACTGAGGGGAGCATTTAACCCGTTAACTCCCAGAAAGAATCAACACGTAACTTCTCCCTACAATATCCAGTTAACAGGTAATGAGACTAGTCAATTTTATTAGGTGGAAATTGCTATCTTGATCCAACACTAAATTCTCATAACCTATTCACAAAGAAATGTCAAGTAGTTATAGGGGAGAATTAGGAATCGGAGCTTGGGAGTTTATAGGATAATAACCAGTTTTCTTCATTCCAGTTTTTAAGACCTGTCTGTAACCTACTTGTAATGAAAGATCAGCTTCTTTTTGTCTTTGAAATTGTGTGAGTTCTTATTCATTGCACTCTTTTGTTGCACTGTTTTGAAGTAGGCAATATAACACTAGCAAAAATTATGTACTTCAAATTCACAGTTAAACACACATCATAAATTTGTAAGTATACTATTATACAGTCTTGTATATATTGTACAATATCAGGTGATATCCTCTAAGCTTGTATGTGTGCTATATCCAGCCAGCCAGCTTCTTATCAATTACATAAGAATTGCACTTGACTTAATTCCACTTAAACTTACAAGTGAAACTTTTGTGGTGAAACCTTTGTCTCTATAAAGCTTTTTCAATTTATCTCATAATTTAGTAAAATAGAAAAAAATTTGAAAAACTGTTTAGGTTACACCTGAATTATTTCTTTGATAGCTCCATTGAGTCAATAAAACAAACTGCAGCCTGATTGACATTTTTACAACAATAAAATTTAGTCATTATGACCTAGAGATTCCTTGCAATTCAGAATTCTGTCATACATGAACATCAAGGCATTCATAGTACACACTCTATAGCCCAGTTGTTCAAAGGATCGATAATGCTGTCCAACAGATGAATTGTTATCCAGCAGATACATGTAGGTGTTTACAAAAAGGTTCTGTGCTATCCACTGGAAAGAAATTAATCCAGTGAATAGCATTATCAGCCTGAGCAACCAGGACCACAAAAGAAGAGTGCATTGATTCTGAATGATGCAAAAGCATTTCTTTGGCTGTCTATGGGTAGGACTTTCTCTCATTTCCTTTTCTGCTACTTGTGTGCCAATATTTGGTATGCCTGCCCATCATCAAGCATCACTGGAAAGAGCAGTTGGAACCGGAGGAAGCTAAGATAGCTAGAGAAACAACTATTTCTTTTTGTTGATTTTCTGATGAATCATCTCCCTGAAGTCTGACAAGATTTTGTTTTCTCTCTTGGATCGTTCTTCATAGTTAAACATAGCCAATGCTCGCCTGTTAACAAGAAGTAAAAAAAAAAGTTACAAGGCAGTGAATGGCTGGAATCAAGAAAAACACCACCTGATGCTATGGAAAAAGAACAATCTACAGGCACATTCACTCACTTTTCATCTGCACTGTAAATCTGGTTCTCTTTTCTCAAACGTACGGCTTCCATGCGACGATGCCTGAAAGAGACAAAAAATAATTTAAGTCATTCAACTCTAAAACCCAAACAGATGGGCTAGAGTTGCAAGCTTCCATGTTTGTTTTTCTTTTTTTCTTTTTTTTTTTTTTTTCACAATGGAATTAAGAACTGTTCACTTTAAGTGGTATTCTCAGGGAAGTTTAGTTCCATCAGCCTATAAGCTTCCTCTTTATACGTTGTGTTGGTGAAACTACATTCAGTGTGAGGAAAGTAAGTAGGAAAGGTGTTGCTAAAACCATTGTTGGATGGTTAACTTGTATGTGCTGCTTTTTATGTAAACTTTTGTTGTTTCTTGTTTCACATTTTTTGGTACTCCATCAAGCAAGATAAACAAGAACTAGTCTTGTTTACTGCACCATTCATTCTCAGTAAATTTAAGTCTGTGGCCTAAAAGGAACTTATCAAGTAAAAGCAAAAGCTGACCAGCAAATTGACCAGTCTGTAAAGGATAATTTAAAAGAAACTATTGCAGACAAATCAGCAGCAATGTAAAGAACACAATAAACTTTCATGTACAGAGAGAAAACACAAATAGTTAGCGGTGACATGATTTCCCAAACACACGCACAATGCTATTGTTCCTGAGTCTCTCTGGATAAAGTGGAGTGTGTTACTTTTAGCACCACTTCTTTTAGTAACAAGATTTTTGAGATAACTTTAGCACAGAAGGCTTTAAAATACTCTTACTGACTGATTAAGATACGCTATCATACCTGCTTCCACTCATCACGTAACCAGATGATTCAAATGTAGCAATCTCATCACTTGTGAGCCCAATCTCACCACGGCGAGGGATTCGCTTGCCTTCCTTCACATACTGTGCCATTGCTTCACCCTCACCAGGTAGCAGAGCTCCTCCAAAGCTGTTGAAAAACGACAGAGAGAAATAAACGAATGCAAGATTTGTGATGGTGACTCAGATGCATCATATTCATTTTGGTCTGTGAGCAATTGCCGAATAAATGTGTACCTTTCTGAGTGAGAAAGGCCAGAAAACCCTCTGAGGACTACCAAAATAGGTAGATGGTCAGTAGAGGAGGATTTGGGAGTCTAAAGTCCAGACTCGGAGAGTAATGTTTGATTTAGGATACTAGAGTTAAATTTTGGACATCAGTGTCTTATTTTGGACACTGGTGGCTGAATATGGGCACTACCTTCTGGTTTTAGACAATAGTGTCCGATTTCAAACACTGGTGTCCCATTTGAAACTCTAGTGTTTGGGGTCTCTAGTACTGGCCCATTTTGATAGGAGTACTTACCAGTAGAAACAAATGTAAATTGGCTTCCTTCTAACAACTTTTTAAATATTTGTCTCGCTGGGGTCCACTATTCTTATTCATTGCAGAACAGTCAACTAGTTACTTAATAAAGGGGGTAAGTTTCTAAAGAAACTGTGGTACTGCATGGGTGGGAGACTATAAAAAGGCAATTTTGTGTTATCAACTGAGTTGATAACATAAATTGACCACCATGAAGAGTTTCAAAGCTGACATTTTGAGCATAGGCCCTTTTGACAAAGGGCTAACCCTAAAAACTTCACCGTGGCAAATTTATGTTATCAACTCAGTTGACAATTCTAAAATACCTAGTTACTGAATAAACTGGTCCAATCTCAAATCACATCATAATCTACAAGTACCTTCAGTTTATCTACCACAAATGAAAGTTTTATTGTTTTGTACTGGACACAAGTCACAAGTTCATGATGTCAGTTGCACTATCTGTACTTGTGATGATAGAGTTATTATCACTTGATAGTCTTACTCACTCAGTAATGTCTTGATTGCCTGCGTCTTGCATAAGTGGAAGAGGCCCAATGACACCATTGCCTCCCTCTTTATCTTTGTCTATGATGGCACAAAAGCAAATTAATCAGATGTGCCTCAACCCTTTGTGCCCTATCATCAGTATGTATATTCTCCATACTGTTCTTTGTACTTTTCCTAAGGTGCTGACAAGGAGAATTTCTTTTAACAATCTTTGGTTGGTGATCATTTCCTTTATCCTTGTGACCTTGATGTTTGATTCAGGAGTGATATTGTAGGGAGAAATTTGATGCTAATCACTCTTAAGAGTCAAAGGAAGAGTTCTTTCTTTCATTAGGAAAATTCAGGTAAGTGTTGAACTACTGCACTCAAGTGAAACCATTTCTTGAGACTTTTGATACAAGGGTTTCAAAAGTAGGCAGGTAGTGGATAGATCTAAACATTTGTAATGCACTGACTGCCTGCTTGTAGCTTTTACCACTGATAATGTTTTTTTACATCTAACATTACTGAAAAGGTCTTAATTCTTCAATTATGGTTAACTTCAAGGAACAGCAAAGAAGCCTAATTTGGAAAAGACCTCATTACATGCCAAAAAATGCAACTGCATGAGTCTAACCCTTCCAAATTTCCCAGGAAAAACAAGAACTCCTCAGGAACAGGAGGCTCTCCAGGCTTTCAAAGCTATTCATTTCTACCATAATTATTTTATCAAGAACACTGCAAAAGATGAAATTTTTCTTCCTACTGAAATGACTCATTTTCTTTAGATGGCAATTGTTATCTACAATGTGTGTTGCATCAAAGTGAACAAATGGATAACCATGTGCTTCACAGACTCCATAATTGGACATTTTCATACATTTAATCTTAATTATAATACCTTTTTGCTTTTCAATCCATGACTCTTGCCATTCCACATCAGCGTCTTCTTCTGAAAAAGGAAACAAATTAAACTGAATAAAATTTGTCTTTCTCATCTGGCCCCTTTACCCACAGTGTATTACAACACCTGATTTAAAAAAACTGGTCAAACTAGATATTCAAACTGTGCATCCTTTTCATCAGTTGGGAGTACCTTACCTTCTGATTCATCATCACTCTCAGAGCTTGACTTTTGGTGAACCTTCTTCTTGCGATGCTTTTTACTGAATAGAAGAATACAAGTGAAACAAGTTGGAATCAAATTTAGTCAAGTAGTAACTGCTCAATTTGATGGGTAAATTTTGTACATGAGGTGATCTTGGTGATGAATCAGCCCAAAGTCCAGAAAACAGTGAAGACAAGATCAACACAGTTGTTTAATATTCTGCAAACTTCAACCTCATGCACAATCCAAATATGGAAAACTGGTCACATGACACTGGATAAAGGAAAACCCAAACAGAAAGATCCAGTCAGTAAAAATCTTCATTGCAGCCATAATTTTCCAGCCAAAAATCATGTGCTTCACTAAAGCAATAATTTTTCTCATTATTTAACAGCACCACAAATAATTTCAAAATCAGGGTATCAAATGCAGATTGGGAAAGCTTCACTACTATACCAGAGGTCTTTGTCAGATGACAATTGGTACAGGTACTTGGCCCAAAATGCATGCGGAAAGCACATTAAAAAAAGTGTGTACACACACACAACTTTTCAAAACACACTCAAAAGATGTGCACAAAAGAAACTTGTGAGTCAAGTTCTGCAATACCAATACATGTAGCTCATACTGTGCAGTCAGTAGTGAATGTACAATATGGAATGAGAAAAATGGTTTAACCCTCTCCACCCTAACCCCAGTTAATGAATACCTTCCATATTGTTCTCTGTACGTTTCCTCAGGTGCTGACAAGGAGATTAATATTGTTCAACAATCTTTAGTTGGTAATCATTTCCTTTGTTCTTGTGACCTTAATGTTGCATCCAGGGGTGATATTGTAGGAGAAATTCTTACGATACTAGTCACTCTTGGGAGTCAGAGGTTAATATCCATTTGATTCAGTTCTTAGCATGTGATGATAGGCTTGTGCATACCAGTACAATGTATTGTATTGAGTGAATCTTTTTCCCATAGCACCTACCACCTACCATTCCAATAAACTTTAGTACATGTAATTGGTCCACTAAGGGTAGCACCAGTACTATTGAAATGGAGTTCACAACAAGAACTCCTCAAGGTCCTTACCTTTTCTTTTTATGGCGACTTTTTCTTGATTTCTTTTTACTAGATTTCCTGTGTTTCTTTTTCTTTTTCTCCTCCTCACTGCTGTCCTTTTCACTTTCACTTTCACCTACACAGAAATATTTCCAAAATGTTAACAATTCTTCATATACATAAACACCAGCCTACAGCAATTAATGTATGTACAGCATCCAGCAATCAAACAGCATTCCTGATGAGGTCCAAGATGGCTTTATTCATCATTTATTAGAGAGTAGACTTAACCCTTTAACTCCTAGAAGTGATATCTAAACATTAACCTGCACACAGGTAATGAGAACACTCAAACTAATCAGGTGAAAGTTGTTATCTTGATCTTACACCAAATTCTCATAACCAATTTTTACGAGGAGATGTATCGCACCTAGAGGGGAAAATTATCAATCAGATCTTGGGGCTTAAAGGATTGAGGGCTTCCACTAGCCAGGTTGTGGGTAAATCTGCTAATAGCTCTAACTGATGGCACTGGAAGGTTTATGTTGCCCCTTAACTTCAAATCTTTCAATCTAATTCAGTTAATGTTATTTAATTGTGAAAGAGAGTCTGAGAAAAGAAATTACTATCTCTGGTTCTTTTTGCTTACTCTTTTTCATCCTGTCTGCAGCTAGAGCCATCTTATTAAGCTCATCATCAGAACTATTAAATACAAAAAGAACTTCATATTAGAGAACCTCAAAATTTACATGGTGTGATAGACACTAAATGCTCTCCTTCAATTAAAACTCTCCATTGAAATATATTTTTTAATTGTCAAGTATCCTATTGGCTTATTCCTGACCAATAAATCTGCCTCTAAAAAAGTTTTTCTCTTGTTTCAGAATAAAAAGAGAGCTTCATCTATTTATTGCAGCAATGATTCACACAGAAACTGTGATGTGTACAATAATTCAAGCAAAAATATTTGTTCATTGATTAATTGTTACAGTCAACTTACTCTGGTGGAGGTTCTCTTGGGGACAAACCCCAAACTTCTATGGCCCCAGTAGCACTGATCTCTTCACGTTCCTTTCGACGTCTGCAATGGTCAAAAAACAACTTTGTAATAATCAAAAATAACTTATCATAAACATGGTTTTCGAGTGAACTCTTTCAACTCTTGCTGCAATCATTTCATATTTCCTCTGGTTATTGACAAGCAAATTGTTAGTAATGCTCCTTGGGTTCAGTAAATTGCTGGCCATCACTTTCTGGCCAGTTTAACCTTTTCAGTCCCACAATCTCATTAGTAATTCTCATTACTGTCCTTTATACAGTTCTTATGACATAAGTTGGAAGGATTTGGTATTGGATCAACTTAAGATCTTCCAATCGATAGTTTTCTTTACTTTTGTCACTTGTCTGCCTAATATTGTATCAGTATCATAAGAAGAAAATCTGTCTTGGTCAGTTATTGATTAATTGCCTTAAGGTGATTCCTCAGCTTTGCACCACGCATCCTGTACTGGGCATAAAAAAATCACATAATCTGGGGAATGAATGTGCACTCATTCTGAGATCACAGCATTGTTTTCCAATCCATGAGCAAAGTAAAGAGGTATGATGGTCTTTAGCTCTTGAATGAGCACAGTGACCTATACTTTTTTTTTGTACAATTTTGGTGTACAGTTTAAATGGAGGAAATTAAAAGAAAATTATTTGAAGGGAAAAAAAAGATAATCTAAAAGTGTGCATGAAGCCCTTTGCTTGAGGATGCAAATTACGACCTAGAAAGGAATGACTTGAGGAGTCAATGTTGTTTACATTTGCATAAATTTTCCATAAATTATGTATATAAAATTGTTCCATATGTTCAAGACTTCCTGTCTATCAAGTTTTTTTCAAGTGGTACTTTAAAAACCCTTGGTTCCAGCTGCAGAAAAATGTACTGCGAACCAATGAAATGACGTTGGTGATTATTGCTAGTACAGGCATAAATGGGGTAAGTTTGGCCCATTATATCTCCTAAACAAGCATGGTGACCTATCCTTTTTTTGTATTCTTCAAAAAATTGTTGGGAACATTCAAAAAATTGTTCAATAACTTTTTTTTCTGAAGAATCATCTTACAAGTGAATCCACAGGGAACATGTTAATTTGCAAATGGTACAAATGTACTCCATAGACTGAGTGTTTGTAAGGCATGAGGATAGGATGCATCTTTTGTAACACATGATGAAGTAAGATACAGGAAATTTACTAATTAACAATGTTATTCATCTAGTCATGAGCACAGGACAAAACTAAATACCAGACCACAGAATTCTATCCTCTGATGCTCCATCACTGAGTGACAGAAAATTCTATCTATGGTAAACTGCAGTTCTCATTAACTCAGTAAAACAGTGAAATAAGTACTCTCATGATAAGATGAATCCCAAGCTCTGGGTTCATTGCCACTGAGCTACAGAGAAGTATGGGATTCTCTGAAGCTTAGAGGAGCAAGGAATCCAAATATTCCACATTAACATTGGGACTCAGGTTTCTTTACTTGTACCATGCTTATGACATGAGAAAAAAAAAATCATGTTTCTTTAATTCATAACAGTGCTTAAAATTTACCATCTTGCTTATTAACTGCTTACTCAGACTAAATGAGAACACATATTCCCTGTATGAGTATATCGAGATATGTAACCCACCTATCCATGAAGCTCTCCGGTGTTGGTTTCCTTTTTCTCCTGTGATGCCTGTAGTTAAAGCATAGTAAATTTGAATGAGGTACATCTTCCTATGCGTCAGCCAACAGATCTGACAGACTTAACATTCATTTCTCCTCATGTCATTTCTTACTCCAACTGGTGTTTTGAAAGTATTGAATGCGTTAAAATGATTTAATTGTCAACATTACTAAATATGTTGGTTGGATAGAATGAAAGATGATAAGATTTTACAAGATTTTCAGCAAATATGGATCAATTCAAGGCGAACTCCCCACACGAAATTTTGATGTGTAAGCATTATTCAGTCAGGGCATTACATTCGAAAAGTA